ATTGACTTTCAGGTTCTAGGTATAATTCCGCATTTGTTTTTATTAGACTTTTGTTTGGAGTTTATGGGAACTCCCTATATTCCTTTTCTCAGACATTTAAACCTGCTTCTATATCTTTTAATGCCTTAGTTTTTGGTTGAGTTTGTTAGTTTGGGTTGTAGTAGTGGTTCTCCCACCGGAAGGTTAGTGTAGGTGCCAATCACGACGGTCTGGGTCGTGACAAAAGTTTTATCAGAAGCTAGGTTCATTGATCTCGATGTACCAAAATGAGTCTAGTAGAGTCTTGCAAAATGGTATGGAGAAGTTTGTACTTTTCTTCAACAGTCTATAGGACTTTAGGAAATCTCTCTGTTTTCTCTTGTCTCCTTTCGTGCTATAACTTGATTGCAATTGGTATCTGGCGATCCGAATTGGTATCTAATCTCCTAACTCTTTTGTCCACAGATAGTTAACACTAGGTTCAACGGCGTCAGGCACGTAGCTCCCGTCAACTCTCCAGCTGAGGAATCTGTAACAAGATGTTGCGGTCAAGGTAGGGTAGAGAAAGAGCTAGGGGTAGAGGCCGAGGAAGGGTGGCGCCTAATAGGGATGGAGCACCGGTTGGAGATGCACCCAGAAATGAGGCCTCTCCTCTGCACCATGAAGAGGTAGAGGAGAATGTTGGACAAGAGAAAGAGGTACAAGCTGAGACTACAGGTATTCCTCCCTTAGACCTAGTGTTAGCTCAACAGATCATGTCGTTCTTGAAAGGATTGGTTACTCCTGGAGTGCTTCCCTCTTTTCAAGCAAATCAAGTTCCCGCCAATCCCCCTATTGCTATCACTATCCCCAAGGTGGGTGGAACTGTAGGCAATGATGCATTCTTCTGTCCTTTGTTGAGTCCTGTATTTATGACTGATAATGAACATGATATGTTGACTAAGTTCTTGAAATTAAAACCGCCTGTGTTCCATGGTTGTGAGAGTGAGGACACATATGAGTTCATTTTAGATTGCTATGAGAGGCTTCATAAGTTGGGAATTGTCCATCCGCACGGCATTGAGTTTGTGAATTTTCAACTTCAAGATGAGTCTAAGCAGTGGTGGAGGGCTTATGTGTAATGTAGATATTCAACTTTACCCCGACTTACTTGGACCCAGTTTCATGCTTTATTTTTTGGAGAAATATGTACCTCGAACCTTGAGGGATCATAAGAAGGATGATTTCATGGCTTTGGAGCAAGGCGGTGTGTCTGTGGCTGCTTATGAGGCAAAGTTTCATGCTTTGTCTAGATATGCTACACAATTGGTGACTACTGAGGAAGAGATGCTCCTCTTATTTGTTAAGGGACTAAATTCTAAGTTACAGGTATTGTCTGTTCACATGCCCTCTGCAGGAAAAAGGTTCAATGAGGTAACATATTTGGTGAAGAAAGTGGTGGGGGTAAGGTGAGACGGTCAGGCTAAGGCATTGGCTAAGAAAGCCAAGAATTCAGGCAACTTTCAGGGTGCTTACTCCAGAGGTTCAGGAAGGCTGACTCTTACAACTCGACCAATTCAGTCTGCTATCCCCGCTTCTACAAGTAATTACTCCGGAACTCCACCTTAGAATTTGATTCAGGATTGCCAGGGAGCCACACCTTCGGTGGGCAGCATGTGATAACGTTCAAATATACCTCTTGAAAAGAAATATAAACGATCGTATGCAATGTATTTACCCAACTGTGAGTCGGGGTCGATCCCACAGAGAATATGGAAGAATATTGTCAATAGCAAATATTTAACTCGATAGTCGTTATATAAAAATGGGGGGATTTAAATTGAAATAAAAACAATAAAAAGATAGCCAAAGTACTTCTAGAAACAAGAAATAAAAGTGGGGGATTTGTGAAACAAATTGGAAGAATTCAGTAAGTAATCAATAAACAAAAGTCAATTTCGGTTGTTATCAAGATGAGAAAATTAACTAGGGTATACGTGTTCACCACAAACTCATAGCGCAGTAATTCTAGTAACCGCAATCCTTTCCTAGTGTATTACATGCAAAGTGATAAGTTATGTATCTCTAAATCCTTGATCCGGCATCTAGAGAATTTCACCCCGTACCTTGATCCGGCTACGTGTGTATAATTTACTAACCCTTACCTTTACCTCATATTAGAGATCATAATCGATATTTGACTTAGTTTTTACTTCGCACCAATCGACACTAGCCTATTAGATAGTATCACACTAAATCTATGTTGATAATTCTTTTCTTGTTGATTACCTCCTTGATCCGGCAAGTAGCAACAAGGCGAGTTCTAACGCGTGCACTCGTTAAAAAGACTTTTAAACGAAAGAATTATCAATGCATGCAAAACACTATTCAAGAATTACTTATGTACTATTCATACTTTGTTAATCGCTCACGGATCCCACAACCCTAGTTGTGAAGTTTAGTTACCCATAATAGCAAGAACACAATTAATA